CACTGTAGTTGACAGTGACCAGTCTAAATTCATGATTTGAATGGCTTAAATCAACTCGTGTGTGTAGAGCCACCTTACCTTATGCCGTTGGGCCTTGCTGGCTAAGAAGGAAAGGTGGCAAGAATGACAGAGAATATCTTATTACTCCTGGTGGAAATTGAGATATCCCCTGATCCCAGAAAAGACATGCCATTTACGTGGTGGAAATGTTTATCAAAAATGTTCAAGGATCAGGATCAGTAATGTATATTGATTGTGGGCATGGCTTGGTTTTTTGATATTACTTGAAATGTTCAATGATCCAATCATCAACTATTATTTTTAATTTTTTGTGTTAGTGGAGAAAATATACCGCAAGAACAATTCAAACTCTCTCCATTCAGTCCATTATGCCAATTCCTTTTATTAAGTGGCATGCTCTTTAATGAGACATGCAGCCATGTAATAAAATGTGTCTCTCTCATTAGATGCAAATGGAGTTACAGAGCAACAACGCTGCTTAAGTGCGATCCGGCGCTGGCAATAAGCACAGCACGATCTTTTTTCCAAAGGTCGGCACATACAAGTGAACTAGTCTGCGACTAAGCTCTGCAACAAGTCGCGAGACAAGTCTTTTCGTGTGAACTAGCAATTTTTGTCAAAAAATCTAGTCTCAGCACAGGCTGCCCAAGCTCTAGACTCGCCAACAGTCGACCAATGCCTATTCTTTAAAATCCTTCGCTTATTCTCGAGCGAAGCAAGTAGGCAATCTTCGAGCGACGAAACGAAGTCGCGAGCGAGGCCAGGGAAGTATCATTCCATCGTTGTGGCAATAATGCTGTTTAAGTACGCTTGCATCTGGCTGACAAGCACAATATTCTATTCTATATAACTAGCTAGGAATTTTTGTTGAAAAAACTAGGCTCAGCACAGGTGGCTCGAGCTCAACCTGTGAGCGAAGATCATCTTTTGTTATGGTGGTCGCGTCAAAATTATAAGCCTTTGTATGGGAATATATTCGATCGGTTTCTAAGGAGGTAGAAATAGTGGAAGGCTCTTGATAAAAATGCCTTATCTTAATTCCACAGTGTATTGTTGATTGTCTATTCACTATGTCTGCTGATTTAAAGCGATTTTTAGCCAGTTTAATCGCTGCCTAAGTTTCCTAATCCTAAGAGGAAGACTTGCCTTGTCAAATCATTACTGTGTAGTGGGATACAACTTACAATACGTGAAGCATTTTATTTTTTATTTTAAGTGTTCTTTAAACCGTTTCACAAACTATGAGAGTTGTTCAAATCTTGACAAAAAGAAATTAAATACATGCATGTGCTTATTAAATTTACTCATACATATTGGGCATTTGTTGAGAAAATATAAAATTCTCGTGCAAAACCTTAGCGGTATAGCCTCTCCTGGGGGTTCACTTAGTTAGGGCACAGTGTGAAAAAACGGCGAACAGAAAAAAAGGAGAGAGAGGCTTAGCTTGTT